TCCCTTATATTAGTAAACTGTCGTGCACAAATGAAAATGGATTAGGAGCTAAAGAGAAGTGCTGATGGAGGGGAAGTAAATATGAGAGCGGGGGGGGGTGTGAGGTGATGAGAGGGACAGGTTTAGTCTCTGACAGAGTAAATCCTCTGGCATGACTCCCATGTTGAAAGCTGCTCTCCTGAAGGTCTCAGATTATTCCAGCCCCAAACCAACTACAGGCTTCACCAACGCCAGGCCTGGCAGTCTGACCCTGGACACTGGCTAACAACTCTGACTCTGATCGAAAAGTCAAACAAATCTATGCCTTTTCTTTAACTTTAGTGAAAAACTTCATAGGGTTAAGTAAAGATGCAAAACAGACTTCATCGTCATTTAGGAAAAGCATGGCATTGGATTGGAAATGCTTTATAGATACCGAACTAACATAATCGTCATGTTACCTATCAGTCACAAACTGTTGTTTTCGTGAGTGAGTGACACTTTAAAAGTTGCTGCCAAAAAAAGGATTATCTCCTTTTTCTTTTATAAAGGAGGGTCAAATGTCTCCTATGTTAAAGGAGACAATAAGGGAAGAATTAGAGAGCCTTTCCTCAGCTTTCAAAGAATTCAATAACTATTATCATGGCTGCCATTTAGGTACTTCTGGGTTATTTTACTCCGTTAGGAAACTTCCTAAACCCAAAATACCCTAACCATGATCTGAACAGAGATACAGGATCCAACAATTGAATAAGGTTAGACTGAAGACAATCCCAACATTAAACACAGATTTGAATCCCATATGAAATGTAGATTTAAAGGTAGGATAGGTAAGAATGGAGAAACCAGCTCGAGTGCGCTAGAATTTGAAAGTACACAACCGGAACAAATACTCTTCCTTCAGACTTCCTTACAGAGCCCCTCCTCCAACACACATGAACGCGCACATGACCAATGAGGGCACGAGATAAGTTTGTGCACAGATGGAAGGCTGACAGGCAGGTAGGCCATCCAGTTATTTTAGCCGGGCCGGCTCAGATGATTGATCGTGCTTTTTACAGTACCACGGCTTCCACAGATGAAATGTGTTTATGTATTTATTGTCAAAGCATTTAATATATTCATTGCTATCGGGACGTTAAGAGCATTCCATGGAATATAACAAAAAGTGTTTTAAGTGAATTACCTACCCCACCTTTAAGGGTCTTGAATCCGTTGTTTTTAGTCATGTAACGTTATGTTAAAAGTATGTTTCCTGTCTTAAATATTTGTCGATGCATATTTGTGACAAACGTCAGCCTTAATCTGAAAGTTCCTTGTTGGTTTGGTGTGAGGCGGGATGGTGGGAGTGTTGTGGATGAGCGTGATAGTGTTCACCCTCCAGCTGGTCCTGTTGTAGGGGCCAGCTGTAGCCCCCTGCCGTGCCACTTCTTGGGAATAAACACCCATTCAGAGGACAAGTGCTGCTTCTATAGTGTGGAAGTAACCCTGCAACACAGCACTGGTTGTTTGTTCGGCACAGAATCAGCCTTTTTCCACACAAAAAAGTCCCCCCCCATAGCCGTGTTGTATTTCATACCCGCTGCAGTTTCTCAGGAAACATCAGTAGTCGCATAGAAACTCATCCACACACACACAGCGCCACGAAAGCGGCGATGATGATGATCCGCGGCTGTGTCAGTTATTTATAACTTTAGACTTCTGTGGCTAAAAGGCAAAGGGGCAGACAGGAAGGGAACGGCAGAGATGTAAAGGAGGAGAGATTTGCAGAGACAGAGGGAGGAGAGGGACGAGGGTTAGACGTAGGCATGGAAATGCAGTTACTTTTAGCAGTAAGGACACAACCTCTGCTGTCACATGTAGCCCTGTAGCCGTGAGATAATGAGACGCAGCGTCAGACAGATGCATGGAGCTGAAGGCTTTAATGAGGGGAAAGGACAATGACAAATGCAGCTGTATAACCCTAAATAAATAACCATGATCACAGCGTTGGTTCAGCTTTTATTATAGCCACACTTGTTATTGATAACAAATAACACAAAGAGGAAAGCCTTACTGTAAGTGCCTATAAATAACATTTTATGGCACAGGCTGAGGAATGCAGTATTTTAAAGTAACACATTTCTTTAATTATTATTTATTTTACCACATAAAAACATATGTCTTGTTATGAGGGAATTGTTTGAGTCTGAGTCTCTATGTATTCTAATGAAGAATATTTATATTGTTTTATACACAAACATTTGTAAAATGTTCGGGTTGTATCAGTAATTATCAGTAATATTTATCTTTCGTTTTTAAAAAACAAGAATGTAATGCACGCTCTCCGCCAAACTCTTCAAAAAACTTGTAAAATACTTTGATGTACAAGATATGAATAATTTAATATTAAATACCAAACAGTAATCAAACAGGACACGTTTTAACTCGTTTCCAACCTGTGAGTCAGACTCCTTACGGGGTCTCAAGAGAAATCTGAAGCTTCACAAAATCCTTTAAAGTGATACTTTTGTCCGATTTTTCTCAAATATTCCCTTTTGCCTTCGAAAGTTTCGTCTTTCAAGGTTCTTGGCTCGTGTGTGTGCATTCACAATCACACGTGTCCGTCTGTATTGAGCAAAGTGGGGGTCGATGCCTCCTGAAAGCCAAACTCTGACAGCCGTTTTGCTGCTGAGGGGGGGTTCTTAATTTGACAATAGAGAGGGAATTGCAATGGAGCGAGCCAGTGTGAGCGACAGAGCTAAAGAGAGAGAGAGGGAGGGAGGGGAGGAGGGGTATCAGACTCGGGGATAAGGCAGCTGGGACATGCTGCTTGGCTGGAAGCAGATTGTGAACCCGTCCTTCTCAAGTCCCTGCAGAGGAAGAGAGAGCTTGACAAGATTTTTATAATTGTTCCATCCTCCGAGCTCATTTGGATCTACTTTATTCTTCAGACAGAGAGAGGACTTGTTGGACTTTAATAAGCTCTCCCATACTTTGATTTTGTGTCTGTTATGGCGCTGGTGTAGGCATGGTGGTGTCCTTGAGGAAGAGCCTTCACTCTCTGCTGTCTGTCTTCAAGAAGAAGGGTGAGTGCTGACTCACGTGGAGGAATTTGGCAGGCTTCAGGCTGCTGACAGACACTTGTTTATACAACGTTAATACTTGGTTTCTGCAGTTGAGCTGACATTTACCAATACGTTATATACCATTAAGCGGTCGCGTCGCACTGTGAATGTTATAAGGTGATGGATAAGTAAGATATTCTTATTGTAAAGGTTTTAATTTGCTGATTTTGTGCACAGCTTATTGCCTCTCTGTCTCATGTATAGACACACTGGTAAGAACGCATTAGTATTAAAGGCAGTTCGGGGGTCCTCTCTAATCAGATAAAAGGCTTAACTGACTTTTTTTCTGGGTATCGTCTAAATTGACTTAAATCCTCCCTTAGGGGTCTTGTGGAATCTCATTAAGTGCTTTTCCAATTAATAACAACTAGCACCTTAAATGTGAGACTTATTCACTCAGAGGTGGTCGTTTTGTAATGAACTTTGTGTCCGTTTCTTGGATTGCATCAGAAAGTCCCAGGTTCACAATGACCTGAGATTTCCCACAGCCACACACAGGGGAGGGCATTGTGTCTGGGCTGCCTCACCTGTGTGAATTCATGAGGATAGGGGTGTGTGATACCTTACACACACACACGCACACACACATGAACAGTATGTTACCGCACAGTGTTCCCTTAACAACTGAGACTGAGAGCCCCAGTGTTGAGAGTGACAAAGGGAGGGAAAGCGAACACCTCACTTTGACATTTGATTAGTTAATAACAGACAACATACAACTTGGATGTTGTCTGTTATTAACCACAGCAATGGCTCGCCAAGTGGGAGGTCCATCAGATAAACTCTCAAAATAGACGTGCAGAGAAACAGAGACCACTTTTAATAAAATGTATTCAGTTCAGATTCCCTCTGTAATGACATTGTAAATGCTTTACACATTTGAATGTTCATTACTGTGCACTGTCCCTGCCAAATAAACGATTAAATAAATGGATTGCTTAAAATGCCGGTCTAGTCTTTGCAACCCACACACACATTCTTACACTGGTTCAAAACCTGCTCATCAGGAGCGATACACATTGACTCCACTTACACACGATGGCTGTTCAATCAGGAGTAAAGTGGATTGTTGACCGCAGGGGCCACGGATCCAACCACCAACTTCTTGACAAAATAAAACCATCTTACGGGATCTCATCAAAAACAGACAATAAAGCAACAGTATTGAAGAAAAGGGAGTGCTTCCACTTCCTTAATCATCAAATATTATTGTTGTGTCCACATACTAAAGACAATAACATGTAAGTCTAACCCTCTCGTGCACACTGTCTAAAGTATCACTGAACCTGCTAGTATTTTATTTTCTGGTACGTCTCCAATTTTTAGGCAGTTCTTTGACGTATTGTAAAGCCATCATTAAGGGAGAGCCTGGCTCATTTCCCTTACAGGAGGTCACTTGGTAGGGGGTCCAGTGGCATCTGAACATGGGGACAATCCAGATTATCTAATCCCCCATGGACTAGCGAGGATACTGCAGAAGATTAACCCGTCAATAGTTCACTGTAGAGAGCCAAGTCTGGTTTGGACGTATGCCCACACTAACTGCTTGGCTGAGGAGTGCTCTACATCAAAGGTGGACAGAAACAAACATAACCAAGAGAAGTGGAGATGCAAAGGGTTGTTAAGATCTAAAGCTAATAATTTGGATATGTGTTGAATATGTTTGGATGTGGGTTGGCGTTTTTTTCCCTAAGAGGATGAGAAAGTACCTCAAGAAAGATGTTTTAAATAGCTGTGTGGAATTTTTGTTTAAAATGGGCAAAATCGAAGATACACGGTAATAACTATGTGTGGTATCCATTCCTACGTATGGAGAACTCTCTAGGACACAACAGCAAACGTTTATTACCATATATAACCATATCACATGTTTCTTCGTCTCTCTTTTCCCTGTCCCTTTACTCTTGACCCCAGCTGGCCCAAAGGGGAATGAAGAGCAGAAGAGGTTGACCGTCCACTACAGCACTTCCCAGCACTTCCAGGAGAATGTTTTCATTGAGGGCAGCAGGCCACAGTACCTGGAGGATCTGCACACTGAGGCCCAGGAGGGGCTCAAGATACAACAGCAGGAAGGTCAGAGGCAGCACTAAATCATATGAGCTCACACTGTAGACACCAAATGGCATATTATTCACACAAATGTTCAGTAAAGTTGGAAAATATAACAGATTTGTGTTTCTCAACGGTACTTTTCTATACGAAGGTCAATAGCTAGAGCTTCAAATGAACCACTTTCTGTATCTATGATTCCAACACTAATTTTAGATACTGTATATTCCTGGTTCTATGGTTGGAAATGTAGTTATTGAGCTTCCTCGTTTGATTCTCCTCCTTTTTGTTCTAACAGAACACCCAAATGGACTCAATTTACCTGACAACGAGAGCATTGCTGTAAGTTACCCCCGAATGCTAAGTGTCATTTTTCCTTCACACAAAGAAAGCCAGCTAACTCAAAACTGGTGTGTGTGTGTGTGTGTGTGTGTGTGTGTGTGTGTGTGTGTGTGTGTGTGTGTGTGTGTGTGTGTGTGTGTGTGTGTGTGTGTGC